ACTAGCATCTTAAAAATAAAACGATTGAATATTGCTCCCAAGTTTCAAAATGATGTGGAAACAGATAGAGGAAGGATGAAGGAAGAGCAGGAAGTCCAGTTGTAGTTTTTAAAACCTACATGCTAATTTTTAAAATTTTGAAAGGGTAAGAATGATCCTGTCAAGATCCAGATGCTTTCAAACAATGCCAGACACAAAATAAAGGTTCAAACACAGCTTTATTGTAAACAAAAGAACAAAAAATGCACTTGACTGCAGTGCTGAAGGTCTTAGGAGTGATTTGGCATCAAAAAGAAGTTGATTCAATAAACAAAAATATAATCCGGATTATAGCGTTGCCTTATAATCTGCTTTAAACAAAAAGTGAAGCAAACTGCTTGAAAATCAAAGTATAGCAAAAACACAGTCACTGAAGCAGGAAAAACACAATTTCAAAACTAAGAAATGTTTCAGTCACAAAGATATTAGCAAACAAAAGTCCAGAAAAGCCAGAGCGCAGTCAAACCAGTCCGTGGTCAATCCATTGAAGAATAAGGCTGGAATGCTGGAATCACTGAAGAAGCAGAAGTTCAGGAACACATGAAGCTGTAACCCAGGACCCAAGGTAGAAAGTTGCCAGCACAAAGAATTATGTCCGATAAAGACACTTTGCTTCCTGCAACTAGATGTGCCAACAGAACCCCCTTATATCTCAAAGATCACCCTCAGAGCTTGAGGAGCTCCCCACCCTCTCGTCATCACTATCACCTGCCCCCAAGTCTGCAGCTGAGTGCCCATCCCTCCACCTCTGCCAATTACTATCAGGGTTCAGATCCTGCCAAGAATCACCTGGCTGCCAATCCCCAGTGAACCCCTCAAACTCCTCGCTAGAGGTGGGCTGGTTACAGATGTCCCTTATGTGTTGCACACGGGTCCAATCCAATTCCTCCCCCTCCATATCACTTCCAGACCCAGAACTCCCCTCAAATCCCAGGAAGTCATCCTCATCAGTTGGTGCACTAAGTATTTCCCGAATACGCTTCCTTTGTAATTCCCCCTCAGACTCCGGCTCGCGAGCAGCCCTTTTTACACCTCTGCTCACCTCCCCATTCCCCATTTCGTAATCTGAGAAGCCTGGAAACATATCGGTATCACTTGGAGCCATGATGATTTCTCTAATGCGCTGACGCTGCTGTTCTCCCTCCGACTCCTGAGGAGACCTTTCCCCTCTGCTACTAGGAGTAGCGACGCTGTCAACACGCTGAACTACAACAGATCCATGCATTTCACTATCTCATTTAAACCAATGGTATTAAACATTTCTTTCTATGGCTGAAACATGTCATAATATTGTCAGTTACACACTAGATATGAAATAATTTCAGCAGCTACTAGCCAACAGCATCACCAGAAGCTTTATTATTCGTGGCATTAAAGCCACAGTGGGGTTTTTTTTTCATTTAGTATATTAAACATTTAAATCACCACCACCACCACCATCAGAGTATAGAAACAATTAGTTATAAGAAATCTAACTACCTGTAAGTGGTTACTTTTTTGTAACAAATGTGAAGTTATATGCTAAATATAAAGTGATGAATAATAGAAAATATTTCCTTGATGTTACCACACCTTCTAGTTACTTTCAAAGTTTTAAAAGGGAATATTCCAGCTATTTTGACAGGAATGTTTCATGTTTTCAGCCATTCTCTTATCAATCCTTTCTTGATCCAAAAACATAAGACTAATATTTTAAACTCAGAATTGAGGCAATGGTGCTGAAAGTCAGGAAGGTGATCTTTTGTAAATTTAGAATGTTTTGCTTGCTTATGCTTCTTTGACCTGATTGTTTCATTTTTAATTTGAATGCAAACATTGATGAAAAAATGTTGAACACCACCACCACCTCCTCCTCCTCCTCCTCCTCCCTCTTCCCCTTCTCCTTCTCCTTCTCCTTCTCCTTTTGTAGTGTAGGAATCTATCTTTACTCCTTCGATATTATTTCAACTCCTGGTACCAAATTAGTTATGCCTAGGATCACATCTAAGATCCTGCAAGGAAGACTCCAGCAATACATGGAGCGAGAGTTGCCAGATGTTCAAGCTGGGTTTAGAAAAGGCAGAGGAACGAGAGACCAGATTGCCAATATCCGCTGGATAATGGAGAAAGGCAGGGAGTTTCAGAAAAACATCTACTTCTGCTTCTTTGACTATTCTAAAGCCTTTGACTGTGTGGATCATAATAAATTGTGGCAAGTTCTTAGTGGGATGGGCATCCCAAGCCACCTTGTCTCTCTCCTGAGGAATCTGTACAAGGACCAAGTAGCAACAGTCAGAACTGACCACGGAACAACAGACTGGTTCAAGATTGGGAAAGGCGTACGGCAAGGCTGCATCCTCTCACCCAACCTTTTTAACTTGTATGCAGAACACATCATGCGATGTGCGGGGCTTGATGAATGCAAGGCTGGGGTGAAAATTGCTGGAAGAAACATTAACAACCTCAGATATGCAGATGACACCACTGATGGCCGAAAGCGAGGAGGAGCTGAGGAGACTTCTAATCAAGGTGAAAGAAGAAAGCGCAAAAGCCGGGTTGCAGCTAAACGTCAAAAAAACCAAGATTATGGCAACAAGAATGATTGACAACTGGGAAATAGAAGGAGAAACCGTGGAGGCCGTGACAGACTTTGTATTTCTAGGTGCAAAGATTACTGCAGATGCAGACTGTAGCCAGGAAATCAGAAGACGCTTACTTCTTGGGAGGAGAGCAATGTCCAGTCTCGATAAAATAGTGAAGAGTAGAGACATCAGACTGGCAACAAAGATCCGCCTAGTCAAAGCCATGGTATTCCCTGTAGTCACCTACGGATGTGAGAGCTGGACCTTAGGGAAGGCTGAGCGAAGGAAGATCGATGCTTGAGCTGTGGTGTTGGAGGAAAGTTCTGAGAGTGCCTTGGACTGCAAGAAGATCCAACCAGTCCATCCTCCAGGAAATAAAGCCCGACTGCTCGCTGGAGGGAAAGATACTAGAGACAAAGTTGAAGTACTTTGGCCACATCATGAGGAGACAGGAAAGCCTAGAGAAGACAATTATGCTGGGGAAAGTGGAAGGCAAAAGGAAGGGGGGCGACCAAGGGCAAGATGGATGGATGGCATCCTTGAAGTGACTGGACTGACCTTGAAGGAGCTGGGGGTGGTGACGGCCGACAGGGAGCTCTGGCGTGGGCTGGTCCATGAGGTCACGAAGAGTCGGAGACGACTGAACGAATGAACAACAACAAGGATCACATCTACTTTGTTAACTGTGGTATACTGTTTATATTAGAGTTATGTTTCAGTTGCTCTCTCAAGACTGATCTGCTTTGCTCTGACCTTTACTATGGACCTCATCATGTTGGAGATATGTAGTGCCCTAGAATGCTTGGAAGATTCTGGAACTACAGAGCCTGCCAGATGCCATCAGATAGCACACAGCTGCTTCCAGCGGGGCTTTGCCCTTCCAGCATCCTGGCAGCATGCTAGTACGCTTCCTAGAGAACAGGGGAGGCTTCTCATGTTCTCATAGGAAAGTGTGGAGTGACCCTGGGGGGAAGCTGCGTGGCAATGCTTCACCCTGTGGAATTGGTAAGGGGGCAGTGCGAGGCACAGAGTGATGGGTTCTCAAACTACCTGCTGTACTCAACACACTGCATGGCAAATCCCCCCTCTATCGTCCACAAATTGGACCTCAATGTGATGAGGTCCTTGATGTCATTTTATATTATCTATGCTACTGAACCCTTTCTGCTGAACCAAGAAACTTTGCTTATGTACTTAACTAAATCAAAGATCTTTCATGTTCCTCCTATATGGTTAGTATAATACTTATTTAGGTTAACCCCACTAACTTGCTATGTTAATGTCAAATTGAGAATACTGTGATTTCATCATTCTTTGTTATGATCTAGAAAGTTGAACCTTTAGCAACTTTCTGTCATAAGGTGTATTGATTTAATACCCTGCCTTCATGTAAAAGGAACACATCCGGCTATTACTTCTATTTTTCTCTCTATATAGGACCCATGTTTCCTCTTCTTTATTCTTTCCTGTTCCTATACTATGAGTCTTAATGGTACAAGTTATAGATTCTCTTCTATTCATGGTTACATCTCTGGATCATGGGGAAACATGTTTCTAGAGGAGCTTCCTGAGGCTGAGTCCAAGCCTCCAAGGTGTGGTTTGTCACAAGTCCACCCTCCCATTAGACAAAATGATCATATTTGGGATATCCTGAAAGAATACTAATTATTTTGTATTTTGAGCTATTTTATTGCATTTTTACTGCTAAGGACGAAGGTGAATATATTTGGTTTTTGTTTTTTTTGCATCATTTTCTGAAATAATGTGGCAGGATGCTTTGACTTGAATAGATGAGGGACCATTTCTTGGTTTGCTTCAAACGAATGGTTTGCCTTGAGCTACATACGTGGATACATGGACCTCTAAGCACTGGACCATCTCTTCCAAGAGAGCCACCAACTTGCACTTGCTGTGTGTTCTTCCCCACACAGCAAGTGCAAAGGACACAAATATTCCACATTTGTTGCAGGGACGACATGAGCTCCCCCACCTTCCATTTTTAGCAGAACATTTTCAAACTCCCCCTCAAACTCCCCCACTAAATACTCACACCAAATGCCCTGTTTGTCTCATCTGTTTGCCTAGCTCTTGTACACTTTGCCTATATTATCAATAGATACTCTTCCTTCACCACCAAGAGATCTTTTTATAAAAACAAACACTTTTATAATTGTCGAAGGCTTTCATGGCTGGAATCACTGGGTTGTTGTAGGTTTTTTCGGGCTATATGGCCATGTTCTAGAGGCATTCTCTCCTGACGTTTCGTCTGCATCTATGGCAAGCATCCTCAGTTTTTTATACTTTTATAATTAATACATAAAAGGCTTTAGTGGCTTGTTTACTATAATTTCAGATGTGTTTAAATCAATGTGAGTAACATCTCTCTCTTGGAATTTGCAGGGTGTGTGCTTATAGTTTCTATGGTCGAGCAGCTTGCTCAGGTCCACAATTCTACTGCAAAAGAAGCCCTGGAGAGATTTTGTGGCTACTTACCTGGTAAAAAGCATTGCACCACATGTCTGTCTGTTCCTTGTAAATTATGAATCCACACTTGTATATATAAATGTTGTTCTTTATCAGTCATGGCAACTTGGATTGATAACTTGGAAGTATAGCAAAGATTTATACATGGGATTTTTTTTTTATTTTTTTGCTGTTTCATGTGATAACATTTATGACCTCATCAGATGGGGCTGATTTCGGCAGCCTATGCTAGTTCCTCTCTAGTTTAGCCACGGAGCCCGCTAAACTTCCAGCTACTTCCAGCGGGGCTCTGTGACCAAAGCTTCCTGTATTGCATAGATATCAACAGTGGGAAGCTGGGTGGTGGAACTCCCCCCCCCCCCCCCGTGGGATGGAGCCTGGGGTCGGTCAGGCAATGTGGGGTGTGGGGCGACAGATTCTCCACATTCCCGACTGGATACCACCGTATCCATCACAATTCATAGCAATTCCAGAGAGACATATGAAGAGGTCCTTAGGTGCTTATCTTGTTAAAGGCTATAAGAATAGCAGTGGTGATTCATTTGGAGGACCATTTTATACAATTAAAAGATAAATATTTTTTTCTTGGGTTGTATCTTTTCAGACTGCAGATGGAGAGGAGGAATATTAGAATCTGCCTGCCAGATTTCATAGAATAACAGAATGCAAGAAATAAACCCTTTTATCTCAAATTGCTCAGTTTCTATTTACAAAAAAAGTACCCGTATATTCCGGCATATAAGACGACTGGGCGTATAAGACGACCCCCAACTTTTCCAGTTAAAATATAGAGTTTGGAATATACTCGCCCTATAAGTCTACCCCTCTTCCAACACACATCAAATAAAATTTTTAAAAGCATCAGATTTGATTTCAATATGGTAATTTTCCTATTACTGTACCTCCTTCTAATAATAGGATACAAGAGTGGGCCAGACAGGTAAAAGAGGTGTGTTTTTCTGGGCCCAGAGCCACTTTATTTCTTTTTTCTATACCCTGGACGCCCCGGACGCCTACAACTTGCTCTGCCCTTCACTTACACCTTCCCGGTGAGGCACCCCTTCACCCCTTCACCTCACCATCGGGACCGCATTAAGTCCACTAATCCTGATGAATGGATTTTCTTCTACCGTATGTGTAGAAGAAAATCGCCCTTAATGCTTTCATACAGTCACTGCATACTGCAGGAATGCGACCACTGCCATTTTTGAGCTCCCCCCACAATATGCGGCAATCACAGAGTCTCCAATCCAGATTGGAAGTTTCAGCACCAGCTCTATAAGACGACTCCTGTCGTATAAGACTACTCCAGAGTATAAGACGACTCCCGCGTCTATGACTACTTCCACGTATAAGACGACCCCTGACTTTTAAGAAGATTTTCTTGGGTTAAAAAGTAGTCTTATATGCCAGAATATATGGTATCTGTGGCTCTATTGCATCATCCATTTTCCAAACAATTGCTATCTGATGTACTACAATACAGAAGCACCAAACACTTTTACATTGCTGTTGCTGAATACTAAAATAGGTAGCTTTGTTTTTTCTTTTTAAAAAATTGTGCCACAATTTGGAATCTTTTTTTTTTTTTTTTGTGGACCACAACTGAGAGAAGGCCCTGTCTTGATGGTCTCAGTGCATGAACGGGCTCAAGAATGGAGTTATGTGCTAATAATGGAATAGATGGCCTGAATCAAGTCAGTAGTCCCATCTAGAGTAAACTTACTAAGTGAATCAATCCAGTTGATTCAATGATATTCTTCATTGGAACAACCAATACTGTTCAGGTCAAAAATTTCCTGTATTTTATTATCCACTTATTGAAGTTGAATTTTCTTTTTGATTTATTTTATTAGATTTTAGTGTTGAGTTCCCAACATTTCTTTCTTAATTTTGTGGAATTTACTATTTTGTCTTTTTTTCTTAGTACTTGTCCTGAATTGAGTAGCAAAAGTAACCCATTCAGCAGTTGCTTACTAATGGCATTAATGTGAAGAATTCATTATTTCAAAAGATTCATTCAGAAATATTTATTCAGTTCTCCCAAAGACTTTCCCCCAATTATTATTATTATTATTATTATTAATAATAATAATAATAATGATCTTTATTTATACCCCGCCCACCACCATCTCCCCAAAGGGGACTCGGAGCGGCTTACGTGAGGCCAAGCCCAGCAATACATTAGAGCAACATAAAATATAAACAACAAAATAACATCACAATAAAATAAATAAACCAATCAAGAGAAATAAACAGTACAAAATAACATAATGGAAAATAAAACACAGTGGGTGAGCCAAATGCACGACATAAAATGATAAAACACAGGATTAGATAGCAATGACATGGTACATTTGTGGAGGAGGAACTCATAGGGGACAGTTGAGACAGAAAAGGAAACTCATGATACCTGATAAGGTGGAGGAGGGGGATTACAGCAATAGGTTAGATAATCACCCAAGTAAAGAGTGAAAAAAAAAAAGACGGGTGGACAGGCCACAAATTCAGGGCAAAGAAAAGAGAAAAAGCAAAAGGAAAGGAAATCGGCAGTGTTTTCTTTTTGAGAATTCTGAAGGATCTTGTCGTCTGTTGTTGGAACAGGATGTATTACGTGCTGTATAACATGTTGGTTTTTCATATATTTGAATAATATCTTCTAAGCCTGAATGTGCTCTTTTAAAATATATCATTTTACAGAAAAATGGACCTTACAAGACATTTGCTTTCTGATTTCTGAAGTACTTGGACCAAGCATAATTAAAATGTAAGTAATAATAAATCAAATTATCAGTCAACATTTTACATTGGCAGGTTGGAAATGAAGCTGCAGAGCAATATTGCGCCTAGGTTGAATATTTTACATAATGTTTATAAGATACAGCTCGCAGTACTTTAGATTGACACAAGGCAAGGATTCAATTGTCTGGTAGCCTGACATTTGTACAATAGCACCATCCCATAGTGGATGCTGTGCTGACATGAAGTGGCAGGAATCTTAGTGACATCATTTCAAGCACTCTATTCAACAACTTGGAAAGTGTCATGCTGGCTTACTACATAGCAGGCCTGTAGCGAGGGGGTGGTTTTAGGGGTTCAAACCCCTCCCGAAATGTTTCAGATTTTTTTAAAAAAACCTCGGTTTACTCATGAATTTTAACTGGTTAACCAAATCCCCATGCTAAGTCTATGAGATACAAAAAATTAAGAGTCCCTCCAGAACTGCAAGCACTATCTCAAGCAAATATTGACAATTTATTCACACTGTCATTACTTGCAGCAATAGCCGATGTAGTGAAGCAACCAAATTGGGGGTGTGGTGTGTTGAATGCTCTCATTAAGGAGGCCAGACTTGGTGGAGGTGGTTGACAGGGGCGGAGCTGCAGGCTATTGAAGGCTGCTCTGCCCCCTGCTGTGCTCTTTGCTTCAGCGTGAGCTAGGAGGCAGGTTTCAACCCCCCCCCCCCAAAAAAATTTCAACCCCCCAAATTTTCAACCCCCCCCCCGAAATTTTCAACCCCCCCCCCCCAAATTGTCAACCCTCCCCGAAATTTTTTTCTGGCTACGGCCCTGCCTGGTTTGATAGATCATCCTTGTGGGAGGCTTCTCTCATGTCCCCGCATGAGAAGCTGGAGCTGATAGAGGGAGCTCATCCGCCTCTCCCCGGATTCGAACCTGCGACCTGTCGGTCTTCAGTCCTGCCGGCACAGGGGTTTAACCCACTGCCCCACCAGGGGCTCTAATTAAATTAATAAGCGTCCCCTGGGCAACATCCTTGCAGACAGCCAGTTCGCTCACACCAGAAGCAACTTGGTTTCTCAAGTTGCTCCTGACACGACAAAACAAACAAACAAACTACATAGATGGGGAACTGCTAGAAAATATTGAATCACCTTTACCTCCCTTTTTTGAATAAAAAAGGGGGTGCGACTATTAAACAGTGGTGACTATTACACTCTGAGCTTCTGGCAGTCAAGGGAGGTGGTGGGCTGGTGGTGTGATGTGAGAATCATCAATTATACCAATTGTGGCATCTCAAAAAAGGGGGAGACTATTATGTGATGGCAACTCTAATGCGATGAAATACAGTATTTCAGAGTAGACCAATTTCAGGTCACTTCTGAATATTCCTTGCCTAAGAAAGCCCAATGGGGGTTGCCATAAATGGGCAAGTGACTTGAAGGCATACACACAAACACATACAAACATAAATTGATTAACTTAGTAAATAATATATTAGTGGTAATGAGTTGCTTAAGATTGTGTGATAATTTTGCAATCGTTGCATATCCAATTATGCAACTATCAACAATACATATCCAATTAAGATTATAAATAATAATTCAAGCCCCCAGTGGCACAGTGGGTTAAACCCCTATGCCGGCAGGACTGAAGATCGACAGGAGAGGCAGATGAGCGCCCTCTATCAGCTCCAGCTCCTCATGCAGGGACATGAGAGAAGCCTCCCACAAGGATGATAAAAACTTCAAATAATCATCAGGGCATCCCCTGGGCAATGTCCTTGCAGACGGCCAATTCTCTTACACCAAAAGCGACTTGCAGCTTCTCAAGTCGCTCCTGACATGACAAAAAAATCAAGCCCATATGTCCTGCTTAATGTCCACATATACCTAAAGATTTGGGAAACACAGATTTCATAGATGCTCCCATTTGACAATGGAGTTACTCTACCCGTTAGAAGACTTCTAATTAACTTAAATGGAAAGCTTTTAGAAAGCTAAACCTGGTTACAGATTGGATTTATGTCAATCTTCTCTGTTTACTCAGCTCCTGATCTTTATTGTGCACCTCGGAACTCTGAATTGTTGTAGCTTCGTTTTGTGTTGAAATCAGGGTGTGGAAGCTCAACAATTATGTAATATTATTCTTTTGAGAACTTATCAACCAAAAAATAAAATATTGCTTTTATAATTAAAAATTTGGTAATTTGTCATCTATTCAATAGTAAATGTGACCAAGAAAGAAAGACTGCCCTCAATGAGTGATCCACACTTAAGAATATATCCTGTTGAGCTTCACGATCAGCATTGAAATTCTTATTTTGCATACAATTTGAAGAAACAGTTTCTACTTCATCACACTAGAGAATGAATCCACTTTAAATCCGGTTTCTGCCTCCTGCAGAATTCTGGGGTTTGTGCTTTACTGAGGCTGTTAAAGGCTCCTCTCAAAACTACAAACCCCAGAATTCTGCAGTAGGCGGCAACTGGATTTAAAGTGGACTCATTCTCTAGTGTGATATCCAAATATCCCTAAAGCACAGTTTTTCCACTGTTGGTAGAAGGTTCAAAATGCTGTGTTGAGTCCAGAGCAGAAAATCATTGCACACGCACTTATCTACGATCACATGGACCACAATGAAGTAAATCATAATGCCACATTTATCTGTTCAGCAAAGGGTTTACAGTTTTCTAATAACCAAGAGAACCAAAAATACGTTTTATTTTACCCCATTTCTTTCCAGGATTGAGAGGAAAATGAATGCTGATGTAGCATGCCATGCCCTTCAGCTATGTAAACAGGAGGCAGGACAGCCATTTTGTCATCTTTATCCTCTCCCTAAGGTGAGTTGGACTTGCAAATTGGAAATGAGAGCAATGCAGAAACCCGAAGGAAGAACTATTCTCCCTTTTTTCAGCATATTTCCAAGGTGATTTTGATGACAGTTTGAACCTACTAATTTGTTCACGAGCAAATTTTAATATAGAAATGTGGTGTTCAGTGTAACCAACAATTTTGCTCATCTAAGAGCAATTTCATTCCATTGTTATTCCACTGTTCCTATTGAGTTCCAGGTGGTTCATATATTCCCCCACAACTGATCCTCAAAACACCACTCTGAAGTATGTTAGGCCATCATAGGCGATCACTTGTAGCCAAGTATGATTAGCTCCAGAAGTAGAGTCTTGGTGGTGGGTAAATAAACACCCGTGAAGACATATTCTAAATACACATAGTCTTTCACAATGATGACATAGATTTCCTTATGGAAGGCAATCACAACAAGGATTGGCTTGACATTCCTTCCTCTTAGCATGTTTTTCCTTTTTGCCCACTATTTGTGCCTCTTCAAATACCATAGCACCATTGGTAACAGCTGACCTCCAATAACAATGTTCAAGTGCCAGGGCTTCCCTGTTCTTGATGTTAATGCCACATTTTTAATGGTTAGCTTTAAATCCATCTTTAAATCTATTTTTATGTCCACCAACATTCCATTTTCCATTTTTAAGTTGCGAATAAAGTAAATGCTTTGGGTGCAAATGATTGGGCATTCAGACATGAACGTAAAGGGTGCATAGCATGATTTGTTGGACCATAAATGGCTTTTGTGTCTTTAAAAAATCCCTGTATGTATATCATGGACATCTGCAGTGTGTTGGATTTCTTGAGATTTTTTGTCCACCAGATTTTGTTAATTTCATGTCAAAAGCATTGCATAAATAATATTAAAATGATAAAACAGAGGAAGCACTAGTGTCTAAATAATTTTAGACCAAAAATGGGCAACAGCCATCACATTGTCTGTAGGTTTAAACAATTCTTCCTCTGTGCATGAGGCAGGGCATTGTGGGCAAGCACAGTTTGCAGCAACTTCCCGTCACACCTGGGGGGGGGGGAGGACAATGCCAGCTAGCTTGTAGAGTTTATCAACAGGTGTAGGTTTGAGACATCCTGTGATTATTCTGCGTATTTCATTCAGTGCTATATTCACCTGCTTCGCATGGGCAGACTTGTGCCAAGCAGGGCAGGCATACTCAGCAGTTGAGTAAGACAAGACCAGGGTTGATGTTCTTCTAATTTTTGGGTCTGCACCCCATGCACTGCTAGTAAGTTTCCACAGGATATTATTGTGTGCAGCTACTTTGTGCTTGGTGTTCATACAATCCACCAGCTAATAATAATGCATAATAATAACATGTTCTTAAGTTCTCTGATTCTTTTTTGATCCTCAGTGTAAAAGACATGAGAGAAGCTTCCCACAGGATGGTGGACACAAGAAAAAAAACCCTATCTCCCAGCTATTAGTGTTTGGATATGATACTAACAAGAATCCCAAAAGCCTTCTGACAAGTGGTAGAGGACCAGGGATAATCTAAACTGGAACAGCCCTGGACTGGGGTCTTTGTTTACATGGCCAGGGAGCATATCCACTTCAGTGGGGAATACACATCTCACTTTGTGTTGCCACCACTCCTAGCTGGCCACAGAGTTCTTGACCTTCATGGCACCTTTGCATTTATAGCCCTACACTTCCAGACAATGCCACCAAACTGGCTAGAGGGGAGATATTAGTATTTCAATGGGAAGTGTGGGCCTGCTTTTGGCTGCTGAGATAAGGTTGTTGTTGCTGCTGTGTGCTTTCAAGTTGTTTCAGACTTAGGTTGACCCTGGGCGAGGGCTGGATAAATGACCTTGCAGGGCCGTATCTGGCCCCCGGGCCTTAGTTTGAGGACCCCTGGTGTATACTGATATCAGAACAATGAACTTGTGTGACCAGCATGAAGGAGAGGAGATTGTCTGGCAGTGGGAATGGGAACACAAGCCACGTCCACGTCCTTCTCTGCATTGCTGAGCACAAGAAAAGAGCGATCACACCAGGATCCAGTCTGGACAGCAGATCGGACTAAATCAAACCTGATTTAGCTGTTCAGATTCCCTATAAGTGGAAAGATATTTAGGAGTTTTCAGTAAACTTCAGAGTATCCCCTGACTTTTCCTGAAGTGGGACAAAAATAATTCAATAAAAAAAATGACAAGATACTAACTGGAAATAGCTTTGTGTTATGAAGATAGACAATCTTCCATTTAAGGTGAGTCCAGGATTTTTGCTGGACAAGCCCTTGTTCATTGCAAGGGACTTTATGCTTACAGCTGTTCATATCAGCTTTTGAAAAAGAAATAGGATTTAGGTATGTGGAGGTGTTCAAGAAAGGGAAGCTTTCTAACCAGGGCATTATATCCCTACATGTGCAATGAGACAGGGATGGATGAAGGAGAAAATAATTCAGTTATTTTTGTCATTTATAGTGCTGGGGGACTACATTCCCTTGGAACACAGGTTGATTAAAGTAGTAAAGAATGTTTATAACCTTTTGACTGGTTGAATGCTGGAAAAAAAAAGGCCAAGGGCAAAAGACATGCTAGAAGGAGGAAGAAGTCAAACTGACTATAATTTGCTATGGAAAACAGAATTTAACAGAAATCATGAGTGCCCTGTGTCCTTTTTGTCACCATTTGGTCCAGTAATGCTTATACTGGATACAAAAAAAGAGAGAACACTTTTTGTTTATTTACCTAGCTTAATATCCTGCCCTGTTTCAAAGTCTCAGAGCAGCTTACAGTTCTGGAATAACATTGTAAATAACAACAGAGTGCAATATAATTTTAACCATTCGAAAAGAAGGGGTGGAAATAGAAGCCGAGTTTCCTTGCAGAAAAGTAAGTCCACAATTGCAACTCCAGTAGTTAGAATACTGGTAATAAGGACCTCAGTCCTATTGCTAGATACTGAGTCAAACTTTATGTTGTCAAAGCCTTTCATGGCCAAAATCACTGGGTTGCTGTGAGCTTTTCAGGCTATATGGTCATATTCCAGGAACATTCTCTCCTGATGTTTTGCCTGCATCTGTGGCTGGTATCTTCAGAACCTCAGATGGTTTTCGATGTTTTATCATCCTTGTGGGAGGCTTCTCCCATGTCCCTGCATGGTGAGCTGGAGCAGACAGAGGGAGCTCATCCACGCTCTCCCTGGATTCGAACCTCCAACTTATCCTGCCAGCACAAGGGTTTTACTCATTGTGCCACCATTTGCGCCACAGTTTGGATGATGACAATAAATACACTTTGTCAATTTTTGACACTTCTAAGCACAATATTCTGATGAGCTATGGCTGTCACGGGCATTTTATTTTATTATTAAAGTAGCATGAAATGCTACTGACTTTTTGGGACATTGGTAAACATTCCAGTTAATTAATTTTCTTTGCGACTTGCTTGTCTCTATTACATAACGAGCTAAAAATTATCCTGCACAAGCAGTGTTAAAAGTAGATCGCAAAAGCATCCTCTTAATGGAGGCCAGGGAGAAAGGCAATAATTGTCTTTGTGCATTGTTATAATTGGATCTTGAAAAATATGCTTTGACCATGAGTTCTAATCATTTCATTCAGCTACAATTGTGCGGGCACCCTTTTTCTTTCTTTGCTTGTTTGCATGAATTCCTGTAGGCTATGCATTATGCAGTTTTGGTAGCTTCCTACAGGGTGCAATCATAGGGCCAGCAACCTGTCAATCATCGTTGCAGCCTTTAGATCCGCCCCTTTCCCCAGGTTTTGGAGGGAAAAGGAAGACTTTAGGCAGTTTTACAGTTGGAAGCCTTTCAGACAGGACGTGTGGGGTTTCTCTTCCTCACCTGGAAAAGGCTTTAGTTCTCACAGCAATCCCCTGGGGAAATATAGCTACAGCCAGCCTTCGCTGGAAAAAGGGAATACAGCCAGCTTTGCTGGATAGTAAAGGACTTCCTTCAACTTGGAAATCTACAAAGACTTTGCCTGGTAAGGTCTACTCAGGTCACCCATAACGCAGATTGGAACCAGGAGTAGGGCCCACGCCAGCAAAGTAAAGAGATTGCCCAGGGAGGGGTCAGAGGATTTCCCTTAAAGAAGAAAGAAATAGTTTGTTAAGCAGTTGCCTGTCTCTTGTTGGCAGATTGAAGAAGTTACCAATTTCCAAAGTTATAGAATGTTTAATCCATCTTTGAAGATTTTATCCCTAATAAAACTTTGTTGGACTTATCAAGAGACACAAAAGAACTTTGTGCGGGGAAATCTGAAAGGCCTCTCAGCTGAGGCACCCCAGCATCCCGTTGGGCATTCAGATAGAACGTCCTGCTAACAGACATCCTCACAGGCCCAACACGTGACAGCACAACAATATAAAAGTGCATTGAATCAGATTGTTGAACATTCCAGCCCTGTGGACTAAAAACTAGTAATTGTGTTCTGTCTGTAATCCATAGCAGCTTATATAACAGATCTTAGTAACATAAAAGTATAGAAACATTTTTATATTAATTATTATTATTGGCACCAATCCTTGCATTTAGATCACCCAGAATGTTAAAATATGAGTTGGGAAATTTAGTTTATATTGAAAGGAGGTACTTCTCTATTTTACCCCAAGTCTCTTTAATCTGAATTTTGGTTTTCAGCGGTGGAATATAAGTGGTCTCGAATAGAGAGCTGCAGGTGTTATAACTTAATTGAATTCCCCAAGGTAGTTGTTCGCATTTGTCCAAAAGGTTAACATTGGCCAACAGTGAAGTTGACAATAGAACAGTAAGGCACCCCATAGCATACCTTTTGTGCTTAGCCGGCTGGTGTTCAGTGAATAAGTTAAAATCTTAATATCCTTGCATATTTTGTACACTTACAGAGCAATAAGTGTCTTTGGACTATAATAAAATGTTGTTGTACTGTTAATCAATCTATGACTTTCTAGTTCCCATAAAACTATCCCTGAAGCTCCACAAAATACAAAATCATAGAAATGGGAAGTAATTTTAAGATAACTCTGTCCAAAGAGCTCTACTTAGTATTGCATTACAGGATGCAACTCAGGACCTCATCACATGTAGAATCTTCCCCGTTTCTACACACTTTAAAATTGGAGCCCTACAGAGGCCAACACATGATGTAACAGCACTTCCAGTGGAACTCCATAGTGATCTGTTTCCACGGTGCATGGAAACAGGAGTTGGGTGTTACCCAACTCCAAGCTGAAACAAAATGAGAGAGAATTGGGAAAGTTGGGAAAGGACGTGAAATGGTTGACCATCCCAGAAGGTTGACCATCCCAGAAGCTTTCTTCTCCTTGGATTTCTTTGAGAGCATCCCAATCCCTGCATATTTCCAATTTCCTATTCCTGAACTGCAATCCTCCAGATTAGATAGAGATAGATAGATAGATAGATAGATAGATAGATAGATAGATAGATAGATAGATAGATCAGGAGGACTGCTGGGAGTTGCAGTCCAATAATTGGTAGAGAAAGAAGAAAAGGGGAGAAAGAGGAAGGGAAAGAAAAGGGAGAAGGAAGGGAAGAGAAAGAGAAGGAAGGGAGGAGAGAAGGAAAGGAAGGAGAGAAAAAGAAAGAAGGAGAGAAAGAGGGAGGGAAGGCTGGCTACAGCAATGCGTCGCACGGATAGCTAGTCACAAATAAAATTAGCAAAGCAAATACTATCTGAAAGCGGTGATAGAAATAATATTCTAGATTATACTCTGGTTTCTCTTCTGATCATATAAATCTTTCTAGATTATGTAATGCTGGATAATATAATTGTTGCCTTTTTTGTTCTAGATGGGGTTAAAGGTAATTATGAAGAAACCAGAAAGAATGGCCACAGTGAAGATCCTGGTAAGAAATAGTGCCAGTAGATTTTTTTTTCCTCTCACTATTGCACTCAAAATCAAATAATTTTGAAGCCAGGTGAAAATAAAACATACAGAAACATTCCTGAATGAACATTAGACATTTTGAAAAGCTTTCTATCTCTATATAATGACAGCAACCATTAAGGAGAGAAAAGATTGATAACAATGAGGATCTAAAAAGTAAATTTTTACCAAAATCAATGAAAGAAATGATGGAGCTTATTACATGACCACTCAATGTTCTAATGAAAATCTAAAGTTCAGGATAAAATAATCAATTAGAACTAAAGACAAGAGGAAATGTTTGCAATTGATGTTCACATGTACCACAGTATATCAAATAAAGTTGGGTTGTTGTAAGTTTTTCAGGCTGTATGGCCATGTTCCAGAAGCATTCTCTCCTGTTGTTTCACCTGCATCTATGGCAAGCATCCTCAGAGGTTGTGAGACCTCATAGATGCAGGCAAAACGTCAGGAGAGAATGCTTCTGGAACATAGCCATACAGCCTGAAAAACTTACAACAACCCAGTGATTCCAGCCATGAAAGCCTTCGACAGTACATAAAATAAAGGTATTTTCTAGATTCTGGAATAACATTGCACCTAACATTTTAAATGCAAAATACCCCTGATCCCCGGAGAACATTTGTTCCCTTCTTCTTTTAAACTATGATTCAGATTTCAAATTAAATGAGTAATCCAAAAAAATTCCCCTTAACCTTTCTGACTTTGGTTCTATTTTGAAATGACGATTTTGCCTCACTCATTCTCCTTCTGAAGTAATTTATGAGAAGTAGTTACCATGAGCCTCTACACAGAGAGATACTGCACATGAATGATAGCTTTTGCATGAACAGAATAATCATGTCTTGTTCATTGCTGTTCATGAAATGATGGATTTAACTGTTACGTTGATGGATTCTGCTGTAACTCAATGGTAGAATATATGCTTTATGTGGCGCAATCTTCCTTTGTCAGCTAGCAGTAAAAATGGAAAAACTTCTGTGTCCGATTTTGGGATCTAGATTGCTAGGGATAAGAAGGTGGAGGTGGGATTGTGTCCCTTCAGATATTATTGGACTGAGGATCTCATCAACTTTAGCTAGACTGTAGACCTTATCACATTGGCAATGGAATTCACCATGCATTGTGGCACATCCATGCATGGTGAACCCCAGCATTGCCCAGCTTACCCCTTATCTCATTCCACAGGGGAAGCATTCATTCCTCAGCTCTCCCCCCCCCCCCATTGATATCTATGTAATACAGGAAGCCTTCCATATTGCCACGGCGGCAGTGGTATTTATTTATTTATTATTCAAACTTATATGCCGCCACTCCCCTGGGGCTCGGGGCGGCTTACAAGAACAGGCTAAAATCTAACACAATTTAAAAGCAATTTAAAACAATTAAAAAACAGCAAGATCAAAGGCCTGTCGAAACAGATATGTCTTACATGCCCTGCGGAAAGCTGATAAGTCCCGCAAGGCACGGACTTCAGGTGGCAGAGAATTCCAGAGTGATGGGGCCACTGCTGTAAAGGCTCTGCGTCTGGTTGCTGTTAGACGCAAGGTCTTGACACTGGGAATTTCCAACAAATCTTGGTCCTCAGAACGGAGGGATCTCTGGGGTTGGTAGGGGGTGAGGTGGTCCCTCAGGTACATCGGCCCCAGACCAAGCAAGGCCTTAAAGGTGAGTACCATCACTTTGAAAGTGATCTGGTGCTCAATTGGTAACCAATGCAGCTGTAGTAAGATTGGTGTTAGGTGGCATCTCATCGGAGTTCCCGCAAGAAGCCGAGCAGCTGCATTTTGTACCAACTTGAGCTTCCAGATCACCGACAAAGGAAGGCCAATGTAGAGGTCGTTACAGTAGTCCAGTCTTGAAATGACCGTAGCCTGGATCACTGCAGCTAGGTCTTCCCTGGACAGGTAGGGGGCCAGCCAGTATAAGCCAGTTCCTCTTCCATTTTACGATGCAGCCCTGCCAGAAGTAGATGTGCATCGTGGAATGGGAGGCAGTGGTTTCCTTCACAAAAGAGAGGAGAAACTGCCATATGATGGGCTATTTTTAGCTATTATTATTATTATTATTATTATTATTATTATTATTATTATTATTTGGTTGTGTCAGGAGCGACTTGAGAAACTGGAGATGCCCGGATGTTTTGTTTTGTTTTTCATCCTTGTGGGAGGCTCTCTCATGTCCCCGCTTGAGGAGCTGGAGCTGATAGAGGGAGCTCATCCATGCTCTCCCCAGATTCAAACCTGTGACCTGTTGGTCTTCAGTCCTGCTGGCACAGAGGTTTAACCCACCGCGCCATCGGGGGGCTCCTAGCTCATATGATGAGGTTGCAGATAACAGTGAAAGAAGATGGGAACTTTTTTTGTTGTGTCAGGAGCGACTTGAGAAACTGCAAGTTGCTTCTGGTGTAAGAGAATTGGCCGTCTGCAAGGATTTTGCCCAGGGGATGCCTGCATGATTTGATGTTTTTATCATCCTTGTGGGAGGCTTCTCTCAGGTCCCCGCATGAGGAGCTGGAACTGATAGAGGGAGCTCATCCGCCTCTCCCTGGATTCGAACCTACGACCTGTTGGTCTTCAGTCCTGCCAGCACAGGGGTTTAACCCATTGTGCCACCGGGGGCTCCATGGGAACTGAGAGGTGTGGAGAGCTAGTGAAAAGTTGGATATTCTTTAGGCAGCATGGAGAGCTAACAGGGATTCATGCTTCTCAGAGACACACACTTTCCCCATCTCTGCTTTAAACAATGTTGACCTAAGTAAACCAATGGCCTGACTCCATATAAAGCAGATTCCTATGTTTCTAAATGCCTGTGCTAAACTTCCACATGAAAGAACTCATCGGATTCTTTAAATCCGAGGTGTGAATACAAAATAATGCATTAGGAGAGGTGTTCTGAGGTTCCAGTGCACTGAACTCATTTTACCTAGCAGGAAAGCAAACAAGCAAATCCCCTTCTGCTTAGCTAGACTTTCAGTTTTATATGTTGACTGAAGTATACAGATTGCTTCCAATTTTCTCTGGGTATGTGATTTGCATACAAATGTGCTTGTTGTTTGCAAAGGAATTACTGTATTGTTTCTCCTCAAGTTATTGCTGTGAAGCTGGTTACAGAAGTGAAAATTGTGTTTTCTAATTAGCCCTTGGGTTAATATCAAGCAGTGGTGCCAAGGCAATAAAGTATATGCTGTAAATAAACACTTTCAATTCAGATGTAGAAATAGCAGGGGAGAAAACATGAACATTAACTTTTCTGTTAATTATTATCTTCTCTTTTGCTACAAATTGCTTGGATCAAAAGGTAGACATTATTAACACAGTGGAAGTTATATGTCCATACTTTATTGAATTTAGAGGCACCATTATTTCAGTGTACGGATTATTGCCCAATGGTAGTGTCTACATGGGCAACAAAACTGGGGCTGCTCTGATTCATTGCTACTTTGGACCAGCTCTGGATACTGCTTTGATGTTCACACCACTCTCCTCCTGAACCACAACAACAGCAGCAGAGTTCTCGCTGTCTACTGATAACAAACCTGGTTCAGCCCCACTGGACAGCAACCCTTACCTGTGCCATTGTTTGTTGTCATAAAGTGGCCCCATCTCCAGAGAGCTTGTTGCCATTGCTCAATATCCTTACTAATGTAAGCAAAGACATCCACATGACTCATTGATGGGAATGGAGAAAGGAGGGGGCAATACCCCTCCCTTCTTTGAATTGTGTAGGCATCTTGTCAGAGTATTGAATGCTGTGCCAGCGGAGGATTGCTAGATCAGCAGACACTGTGTTTCAGAAATCAGGACTCTGCAAGCTTTTCATTACCACAGAAAACTACGTTTTACTAAGTACATCTATACACGTCTATTCCCAGCAAGAAACAGATAGTTACTACAAGGCACAAACAACAGCCTCTGAACATCTGCTTATCTAACTTCTGACTGAGACCAGATCCTCCCTCTTCTTCCCAGCCAGAGAACACGTTATTTCGTTTCTGTCAAGGTTACAGTTTCACAGCCTCAGCACTAGGTTTTCTTAATACACAAAAGAGCAGAATAGAATCCATCTTGAAATACATCTTAATCCATCTTGAATTACATAGAAACATATTGAAAAACACACATGCATAACTAAATAATCCTGACACAAACAAACAATTCCTGGGGTTTTTTTGGGGGGGGGGGCGGGGGGGGGACCCACCCATCTTTTGTTCTACATTTTTTCTGGGAGGCTCCAGGGCTGTGGCCTCTAAGGGGGGTACTTGATTGGGGGGGGGGGGGGGACAAATTGAAGCTGATTCCAGACAAAACAAAAGTGCTTGCCATTTTAGGAGTGGAAGGAATCCAGACAATGCAGTCACCCATTTCTAATCTTTCCCTGTTTTTCTTTTTTCTAGGGCTGGGGGCCAACCCACGGAAAAACGGCCTTCTTTCACATAATGCTCGGTTTTTTGGGGTTTTTTGTTGGTTTGAATTTTTTTCCAAAAATTTTTCCTTTGTAAAAAAAAAAAATTCGCGTAATTTTACGAAATTTCGTTAAAAAATTACGAAATCAATATACGGAAACCGAATTTCCGAAAAAAACAGTTGGCGAAATTCGAATGCGTTAATGGATGGGGCTTGCTGTGATCGCCCTCCCCCCCCCAAATTACGCTAAAAAAAAAAAAACAAAACCTCCAAATGGGGGGGACCAGGGTGAAGGCTTCCCCTTCTCCCTCTGTTTGTGGGGGACCTGTTTGGTCTTTTGTGGATAATTTTTTTTTTTTTCCCCACTGAGGGGAAAAAACAAAAACAAGCAAACCCTTAAAAAACGGGCCACCAGGGGGGGACTATTGGCGGGGGGAAAAACTAAATTAAAACGAAATAAATCGATTTTGGAATCAATACGAATTCGATTTTCGAACAACAATCCGTTCGTTTTTTTAAGTTTTTGCTCCTTGAATGTTTCAAATTATCGGCT